TCAGGTTTTTTCCTTTTTCGTCTTTTTCTTTTTTTTTTACGCTCTGGTTTTTTATTTTATTTTAAGTTCGACGGGTATTATGGTTTTTTATTTGGCCTTTTTTGGGGCTTAAATGAAGATTTTAGAAGAAAGAAAACATCCAATGGTAAGTTTTATTTTTATTTACAGGTTAGTTATTTTATTCCCCCCTCACTATTTTTAGGGTGAGGGGGGTAGGTAGGGGATAGTTTTTATTTGGGTGGGGGTTGGGTGACTAGGGGGTGGGGGCCGGGGGAAGGACAGTAGGTCCCCCCTCATTATCTTTATGCCCCCCTGTGACAAGGTGCCCCTTGCCACTGGGCATTAGAGAGAACTGATTGCCAGCCTCCTGCCACATGACTATGGCCCTGGGGTGTATGGCTCTTTAAAACCATTTCTTGGTCTTATGGACTTTTATTTGGACTAGTGCTGGCCCTTTAAAAACAGTGTATGGACATATTGAATCTTTTGGGACACTTTTTCTGCCCTTTGAATCCATGGCAAGGCGTGCCTCTTCCCCTCCCATTTTCCCATTGTTCAACAGCAGGGCGTTGTTCCAGGGACACTGCCAAACCAGTGTGAACTGGCTGTTTTGTCCCTCCTCGATCAAAATATGACTTCCACCTATCTCCTGAACCACTTAACCGATTCAAGTGAATTTTGGATATGTTTGTCCCCAAATTATGAATTTTATTGATATTGCATGTAAACTCACAAAGTAAAAAAAAAATGCATAAAAGTATGTTTTTTAGCTTGGAGATAATTGAGTTACAGTAATTAACTGAATTATCTCCCAAGCAGAGGGGAGGATTCTCATTGTAAAAAGTGGGTGTGCTTATCCATGTACCTTTATTTTATTGGTTGTTAAATTTACAGTTCCAGTGCCCCACAAGGTCCATGTGGGTGGTAACCTTGCTGGGAAAGTTGTATATAAGCAGGAATAAATGCTCATTTGAGTCAGTTCTTCTTGACCCTCAACACGTAGTCTTGTCTCGTGATTGGAGGGGACAGCTATATTCACACTGGGGATTGCTGTGCTTTGCATACTACCTTGAGCTTTAATCACTTAGCTCTTTTAAGGCGGTTGTGGAGTCTGCGGTGGTTGTGGTGTCTGGTGCGGTGCTTGTGGTCCTCGGGGCAAGCACGAAGCGTCCATCAACAGAAGGTACTCGGTCGGAGTACGGGGAGTTCAGTTACACCCCCCTCATTATCTTTATGGCCCCCACCCACCAATCAGGGTTGGGGGCGGGGGGAGGACAGTAGGTCCCCCATTGTGATTTATGGCCCCCACCAACCATGCAGGGGTGGGGGCCAGGAGTGAGTACAGTAGATCCCCCCTCATTGTCCTTTGTGGGGGCAGGGGGGGGACTACTAGGGCTTTTTTTTTTTTTTTTTTAACAGTGAGCAGCCACAGGCTGCTCACTGTTTAGTAGACATGCCCCATTCGCGGTATAGCGAGTAGGGGCATTCGGGAGATATTATTCTCCTTTATGCTATATTGACCCCCATAGAGTGAGGGGGGACCTGGGGGACTTAGGAAGTGGTGGGTAGCACTGCTCCCTGCTGCCTCTATCTTTACATATTACAAGGAGAGAGCTGCACGCCGGTAGCTCCCTCCTTGTAATAAACTGAACGAACAAACGAACACTGATATTCAGTGTTTGTTAGTCTGACAATGCTATTTATTCATTCGTCTTTCTGACGAACGAATAAATTGATGAAATTCCCGTTCGCATGCACAAGTGTTTAACTGGGCATGTGTGGAAATCTCCCAGCGCTACCCACAGGGACTTCCTCTAGCCACACAAAGATGGCAGTGCCATGAATATAGATCGGGCAGAAAATAAAGTAAAAAAATAAGTGATATATGGGGCTTAGGGGCATTTAGGGGCGACTAAGGGGTTAGTTAGATGTAGTGGAGTCGGGAGAGGGGGGTTTTAAAAAAAAAAAGTGATTCGGCCATGACAGTGCCGCTTTGAGGTAATTTCATATTATAGTATTTTCTAAGGCTTCTACTTTTTTCTTTTTTTTTAAATTGGGACCATGGACTAATTGTTTGTTTAAACCTTTTGAGTTGCTATTCAACAATTTATAATTTAGATCTTTCTGCACCACAAAATTATCTCCAGGTTGTCTACAAGTAATTGCTCAATTTTATACTGATCTTGGTTTCTTAGACCCATCACTTGATGTACATAGGTCAATAGACTGGCTTGCTGGTATCTAAAAAAAAAAAAATTCACACTTTCCTTTTTTCATACAATATAATATTTTTCTTGAGATTCAGTCTTTTTCCTGACCATATAAATTTTGCAACCAGTGATTGAAATTGTTTTAAATATTTCTCTGGAGCTGTTAATGGGATCATCCTAAAATTATATATATCGAAATATGTGATTGATAGGATTTGATTGTGTTTATCCAGGAAATCTATACATTTTTCCAATAATTATGTTGACAATTTAAGTCCTTCATTAATTAAGAATAGTTTATTTACAGCAAATAGTCTATTTTAGGCTATTGAAAAGCAGATGCTGCTTCATTAAAATCATATCCCTGGGATCAATTGCAAATGTTAAGGCTTGTGATTTTTCCAAGTTTAATTTGTAATTAGAGAATTTTCCATAACTAATGTTGAATTATACTTTAAAAGATGTTTGATTAGATGTTTAAGCCAAAATTATGTCATCTGTATAAGCAGACAGTTTAAATTCATGATAATTCAGCTTAACACCTTTTATCGTGGTCTCTTGTCTGATCTTTTGAAGTGAAAGGCTCGAGAGTAATAATATAAACTGGGGGGGGAGCCAAAGGGCAGCCCTGCCATGTACTCTTTTTAATTTGAAAGTTCTCAGTAACAAATGCAGGACCTGACATATTAGCATATGCCATGTTTGCATCTATTGTGAGCTCTCCAAAATGATACGCTTTCAGTACCTCTTCCAAAAACACCCAGTTGACCCTCTTAAAGGTCTTTTTGGCAGCCAGAATTATTAGATTCATTATTTTAGTGCCATACAATATGTCATTCGATATGCTTTGAATATACTAATATTGAGAGCTATTTCACTTTTATTTTATTATTTAATTGTACTACATACGCAAGTGCATTTTAATTTATTTTGTTTTGTGCTCTCACTCTTCCATCTTCCCCACTCATTTGAACTTCTTCCTATATCCCATATCACATGTTTCCCTTCCTACTTCTCCAGGACGTTTGACTTCTTTCCAAGGGACGAGCCAAGACGGGTGCAGGGGAGTGCTAGTGAGGGAGAAAACAGGGGATATTGAGTGCTAGAGAGGAGGTGAGGGTTGAGACTTGGGCCATTAGCCACTGTATAAGATATAAGTCAATGGGGTTAATTTTTTATTTTTTTTTAGTAGGTGGTGGAAGCTTAAGCCATTCTCATACTCAAACATATTCAATTTGAGCCTGACCTGAAGGGGTTCATGACTACTTTATAATCATATTTCACCATCACCTATTAACAAGTACTTATCTTTCAGAACCTGTTTGTGACATTCCTAAAGGTCAAAAGTCCTTAAAACAGCACTGTTTTCTTTTGAATACGCCCTTTGTATCTTAACCCATTGTCATTTGCCTATTTATATTTATTGTCTTTTCTTCCTTGTGTCGAATGCCATGATATCTGCAGTTTACTTTCTGTGGGATTGTTTTGACTGATGGATTGTGGGTGAATTAACTTAGCAACTGAAATGGAACTTTGCTTAAGCTCCACCCATTGCAAAAACAGTCAAAGATCACACTCCCCATGAGAAAAAAGTAATTCTTATGTCTCCTTTTGTATAACTTAAAAAAACTAAGATGAATTATAAAAAAATAAACAAAATAAACAAAACAAAGATAAATAGAGGAACAACAAATGGACTAATTATAATAGTAAAGTAAAAGCGCTGCTTTAGGTCATTAGCTATTTACCCATCGGCTGTTAGTCCCATCTATGGAATTCTAAAAATTACTATGCCAGATTCCAGACAATTCTGTCAGCTATTGTTTGATAAATAGTTTAATGTTCTAATTTTGCTGTAAATTTGGGTTTTATTAATGAAATAGAGCACAAAAGGTAGCTGCAGTATACAAAATAGAATTTTCAGAGTCGGACATTACATACTGTGAGTTATGGAGTTTGACAACATGAACTGTTATAAGAAAAATCAGATCACCACTGACAATTGCTCCACCATTGGCGTAACTCACAAAAATGCAATAAAAACTATTTTCATGTGATGACTCAAGAAAATCTCAATGACATGCTTTCATAGTAAAAACCTTGCCATTGTGTATTCGGTACATATATACAAATACATTGTTGCTACTGATCACACAAAAACACTCTTGTATCAGATCTTTTATTCATATATGTGCTATTTATTACCAACCACAAGGGGGGGACAGAGATCAAAATTGGTGCAACTTTGCCAGTTTTATTAAAGTTGGTATTTTATGTTGCACACAATTTCAAGACTTGCCCTATGCATCAGGAACTCCTCTCTATATATCCAATAGCAAAATGTACAACTAAACCAAAAATATATATTATTGGTCTACAAATCCAATCATCTACAAAATAAGCCTTATAAATCATCCCATTTAACTGGTGTTTGGGCTTCAGTATTCTTTTAAAATAATGTAATATTTCTTTTTTTCATACTTATCATTCAATTTCAGTGAACTCTTTTGTCCATAAGCAGTCTGGCTCCCTTCTTGTTTTCATTCCATTATAAAGCTATCTTTAAAAAAAAAAAAAAAAAAATATCACATCTGATCTTATTTTGTTATACCATGTTTTTGTTTAAGCTTTGAAAAAACTATTTTTTTCTTAACGTCAGCTCTATAGATTCTGAGCGCAATATAGTACTGAAGATTGTTAGTCTTTATTTTCATTCAATGTATACAATAACAATGAACCATGCTTTGTGTGCAATAATACGTCATCACATCAACAGATAGCTGGGCTTACCCAGTCTCTTCTTTGAATGAGAGTTTGAGACTTACAGAAGTAAAGGGAGGGGCACTGAGTTTATAGGGCCCTCCTGTCCCCTTGATGCAACATTTCCATACCCTTGTAAAGTCTAATCCACTTGAGTTTTCCCCTCAGTGGTGCATTTCAACTTGTCATCAGTCCTGGTAAGAATTTTTAACCTGTTTTTAACTTAGCTGTTTTAGATTGTTTTCTATATTTTACATATTGATTTAAGTATTTATATTTTGGGATGTATACAAGATGAGTTAATTAAAGCACATTTAAATATTAAGATGTAATACTGAAAGCCATGGGCTGTTACTGTATTAGTGAGGAAAAAATAATAAAAGCTAACAGAATAGTATAATTAAATACTTAAACATTGCCTTCTTTAAGAAAACAAGGCATAGCAATATAAATTAAAGTGCAGAAAAGGCACTTTTGAAATACAAAATGATCTAATAGGTGTGCACAGAGATATGTCAATGAATATTGTTATAACTACTTTATTTCATTCTTCTATTAATTAACAGTGTTGTGTGTTTTGAATATCATGTCGAACTCATGTTTTAAGATGGATGTTGGGGGAAAAAAACTGAATGTAGTGGTGGGTAATCCTTTTATTTATTTATTTATTTTACTCTGGCTTTTAGGAATTTCGGAATGCCAAACACTTGCTGCTTCAACACTTGTTCACATTACTAATGCCCGAAAGAGCTTGAATTAAAAGCTTTCAGCAACTTTGACCTAATGAAATGAGGCTTTCCAGCATTATTTCATTCATTATTATCGTCAACTGCCTGAACACTTTTCAGAGTGTGTTTGGCAAGAATGAGAAATCAGCCAGCAAGAGAGGAGAAAAACAATCCTTTGCACGGTCAGGGCAGTTTTCAACCAAACAAAAACATGAGTGCACATGGGAGATATCCGGAGACCTTATGGTTAACCTGTCTCTAAGTTGCAAGGACCAAGCCAACATCAACTACAAGTGTACTTATGAAGGAGAACCGCAGAAGTGTCATGCATATAATGCGAAAGCCAATCAATACTGGAAACAAATTCTTGGAAAATTTAAGAAACTAAAAAATGCATGCGAGGAAAATACCTTAAAGTCACGCATATGTAAGAAGGCTGCAGAAGTGGAGTCTCATCTGAAGAAGATTAGTGGAGATGTAGCAGATGGTATGGAACAAGGCAATAAGAGAATGGGTCAATCAAAAGGATCTAGAAAAGGCTCCAGAACAAACCTGCCTGAGGTGAACGGAAATGTTGGAGCAGAAAAGAAAAGTAATGACAAAAAGAAAAAGACAGATAAGAAATTGAACGACAAGGCTGACCCAACAAGTCCATCGGCAATTTCTGACCTCCTTCCTACGGCTGGAATTGTCAATGATGATATGGAGTTAAATGAAGATCTGGCTGAAGCCCACTGTGCAGAAAATTGGCAATCCGTGTGTTCATTTTTTGTAAACTTCTGGAATGGCTAACATCAAAATAGCACTGTTTGTTAGAAGCATTTATAATACATCCTTATTTGTAACTAAAAGGTACTAACACAGGAATTTCTTGTTAAATCCTTTGGGCTGGTTAATACCTAGCACGACTTACAAATCCCCCAGTACTAAAGCAAGTGTAGACTTGTCTGTATTTAATTGTGATTGTAGATTTTTATTTCAATATGTTCTTTTTTAGGACAATTTTGTTTTGGTTTTTTTAATATGCCACAACATTAAGAATTTGTGTACTTCAAGTCAATTAAGATGTCATTTCTGTTTTAATTCTCTGAAATAATTACTGTGGATGATTTATTGTAGTATGTAGATTTATCAATAAAAATAAATTTTTGCTAGGTATTGCATTGATTTGTATACTTAGTTGGCTATAGCTTCATGCACATGTTATTAAAATTTACTGACAAAGACGAAAAATACAAACAATTAGGTTCATTCATTCAAGTGCCAATTTTGTAGAATTCAAAAAGGAAATACAAATTCCAGTTGAAAATAACCAGGCTGTAAAATTTCTCCAACTTTAAAAATTATTGCAGTTTTTTGGACTAAAAATTACACATTTTTTGACAGATCTCTACAAACACCACTGTAACTACTACCACCTCTCCCTTTGCACCTAAAAACACATCTATATTTCTTTTTGCCCTTACACTTGGCCTGACTATTAGGATAAATTCATATCTCTATAAGGCCTTCTAGACAATCTCTCTGCCTCTTGAATAAAAATGTAAACTACTTCAGCCTCTTTGCACAGAGACATGCATGTTTTAGTGTGTGAATTGCTGCTGAAGAGCAGTTAAAGTGGGGAGGCATTGGGGAGAACATCTGATCAAATATCAAAGTGTGCAGATTATTTCCAGGAAACTTTAATTAAAACTTCTTGTTCAGCAAAGTATGAAAGAATGAATTAATGAAAAAAATAAAAAAAGAGCCCTTTTAGGGCTGACCCTGGGTGAGTGTACACAGCCCAGGTGCCTGAAGGGGGCACCTAATGGAACCCTGTCACAGGGGGCCCATGAGCTGGCTTACTGGCGACCTAAGTGCGCCTCCACGTAAGAAAGTGCCTACTTGCCTTACTGAATTAGTGCCGCTTTGGAGGCGCACTTAGGTCGCCAGTAAATGTGTGTGTGTGTGTGTGTCTGACTGTTAGTGAGTGTGTCAGTTTTCTGTCTGTCAGTGAGTGTGTCTGTCAGTGACTCTGTCTGTCATTGAGTCTGACTGTCAGTGAGTCTGTCTGTCGGTGAGTGTGTGTCTCTCTGTTGGTGAGTGTGTGTGTCTGTCTGTCGGTGAGTGTGTGTATGTCAATGAGTGCGTGTATCTGTCAGTGTGTGTGTCTGTCAGTGAGTGTGCATCTGTCAGTAAGTGTGTGTGTCTGTCAGTAATTGCACACTTTGTTTTGCTCCTCAAGTTGTCATTCACTGTTGACCTTGCTCAGGTGTTCGCTAAAGCGGTGGTTAGGCTTCAAAGGTTGCCCAATGAAATTGTCTGTGACAGAGGAAGTCACTTCATCTCTCAGTTGTGGCTCAGTCGACTTATTTTCAGCTTTTGTGACGAGATAGACATCAGGCTCTCATTTTATTCTGCCTACCATTCCAAGACCAATGACCACCAAGAAGTCTAGGTAGTCTCTGGAGTAGTACCTCCGTTTAATTGTCTCTGAAAACCAGGACAAATGGTCTGACTTGCTGCCCAGGACCATGATGCCTCCAGGAACATTCCTTTCTTGGTGAATCAATAGTTTCACCCTACATTTCTTCCTGCAGGAGGATCTGTATCTGGAATCCCCACCTTGGACGGCCACCAGAGTGAACACTGGTCCCTTTAGCATGAGTTAAGGACATCCTAGGCTGTTTGGTACTACTCCAAAAGACAAAAACTGTAGGCACAGTTTGGCACTTTTGTTCCAGGTTGGAGACCATTCCCAAACTAGCTCCCATAAATATTAGTCCATACCACATCATCATGGGTGACACATACCTTTGCATTTCGCATTCCCAACACCTTTTGTATCTCTCTCATTAATCCCTTGGTTTGCAATAAGTTGTATTCCTCTGTGTCAATTCCCACTTCTGTGAGGAACTGACTCTGCTGGGTTTTGAACCCTGGTTTACATGGTGCTAAACCTCTTCCTTACCAGTACACCAGCCTGCCTTTTGCAAATTTACCTGAGATCTGATACCATTGCTTGTAGAGTCAAGGTTATCAGTGACAACTCTCTTCAGCTGTGTCTGGTCAGGTGTCTGGTTCTTGGCCTATAAAAGCCACTTCCTGTCTCTGTACCTTTGCCAGATTATTGTGGTTCCTGTACGCTCTAATCAAGTGTGTTCCTGTTTCTCTTTCCTGTTGCTGAATTTGGACTGTTTTGACTTTGCTGCTTCTCCTTCCCACTGACCTCGGCTTGCCTCACTACGATTATCATCTTTCTGTTGCAGTCTCCCATCTCTGCTTAAGACCAGAAGGCCACTCAAGGCTCAGGGGCTCAACCACCTGGGTAACGAGTGGCTACCTCTGGCAGAAAACATTGCTGATCTGGCTACTGGATTCCAAAACTTTGTAACATCAATATCATTACAGCTTCAGTCCTTGTTGATGACCATGAGGAGTCCAAATTTCAGGAGATTGATTCCCAGATCTCTAGAGGCAGGTTTGCAATACCTTATTAATTGAAAGGGGTAATGTCTAGAGGGGAGATCTTTGGCAGGATGTCTATGCTCCCCCCCCCCCACCCCCATTATGCCTCATGCTACTGTAAAACCTGCTCTCCTGAGAAAATTCCAGAGGGTTCCTTAGTCACATTGGTTGCTTATTTTGCAGAGAACCTGTAGGGAGCACAGTGTTAATTCCTCACAAGAAGAAGAATCTATTAGTCAGGACCACCCTACTTAAAGGACCACTATAGTGCCCTGAGGGTGCCACCACCCTCAGGGTCCCACTCCCACTGGGCTGGATGGGGAGGAATGGGTTAAACGTACCTCTTTTTCCAGCGTCGGGCGGGGAGCACTCCTCCTCCTCTTCGGCTGAATGCGCATGCGTGGCATGAGCCGCATGTGCATTCAGCCAGTCCATAGGAAAGCATTCACAATGCTTTCCTATGGATGCTGGCGTCTTCTCACTGTGATTTTCACAGTGAGAAGCACGCAAGAGCTTCTAGCAGCTGTCAAGAGACAGCCACTGGAGGCTGGATTAACCCTAACATAAACATAGCAGTTTCTCTAAAAAAAAAAAGGGTTAACCCTAGCTGGACCTGGCACCCAGACCACTTCATTAAGCTGAAGTGGTCTGGGTGCCAATAGTGGTCCTTTAAAGAGAACTCTCTGGCTCATATAGCACCTTTCATGGTTCCAGAGTCCTTGGTGTTATTCTGTGCCAGTTCTTTGAGTCTGTTATTTTTGACCCGGCTTATCTTGACTACGCTTCTGCTCTCCTGCCCTTGTGTGCTTGACCATACCTGTTAATTTTCCCACCTGCTTCTTGTTCCAGCCTTTGGCTTGTCTGATTATCCAGCCTGTGCACTAGTCTCTGGCTTGTTTTTCGACATTACTCTTCTTCGTTTTCCTGACCCTTGTCTCGACTACGCCTTGGTTTCAGTGTTCCTGTTACCTGCCTCTATATATTACTGTGTTTGATATTTTTTTGTATTTTGTCCCTCTCCAAGTCTGTAGCATTTTCTTAGTCTAGTCCTGTTATTTCATAGTAGTACTTTTATGTAAACCCGGCGGCTTTAAGGATTCCTATCCCTCTGTTTTTGCCTTTGTTAGGTCGCTGCTTCTCACCTTTCTGAGGATCCTCTAACCCTGATAGTTTCTAGTTTTTAACTTCAGCGTTCACTGTTTTGTCTTTTCACTGTTACTAGACTGTTCCTACATGCAGTTTTTAATGTTCTGCTATTTTACAATATGATTTTACCATCCTGTAATTTGAGGAATAATTACAGAACCTGATAAGATGCAATAACCCAGAAATAAATAAAACCCATACGTCATAATAATACACAAAGCTCCAACAGAAAACACGCGAAATATGGCAATTAAAATACTCGAACATGTGGGATTGTAGTGCAAACAATTGTCTTTGTTTTATTTAGTTTTCTTTAGTTTTCTTTGTTGCATAGAAATAGATAGATCAGACAACGATAGAGAGAAATTATATAAATCAGACAGACAGCTACATGGACAAAAATAGATAGAAGTAGAGACTGGCAATTTCTTTAGCTTATTAAAGAAACACTCTAGGCACCATAACCACTATACAGGGCCAGACTGGGAATGCAAAGCAACCCTGGAAGAAAAAAATGTATGCCAGCCCTAAAAGTCATTGTGCCACGGTAGTATTTACGTGTGTGTGTGTGTGTATATGTGTGTGTGTGTGTGTGTGTGTATATATGTGTGTGTGTGTGTGTGTGTGTGTATATATATATATATATATTTACACATACAAACACTACTGTGGCACAATGACTTATAGGGCTGGAATACATATTTCTTAAATATATATATATATATATATATATATATATATATATATATATATAAATAATGTTTATGAATTATAATTACTCAATCTGGAGTAGCACAGAGACATATTTTAAATGTTATAAAGGGATATTGAACACTACCACTAAAATATATAAATATACTTTTATTATTGGTATGTTCCTGACACACACATACATGCTTACTATAGACATGCTCACTGACACACATACATGTTTGCTACAGACATGCTCAGTGACACACACATACATGCTTACTACAGACATGCTCACTGACACACACATACATGCTTACTACAGACATGCACATTGACACACATACATGCTTACTACAGACATGCACATTGACACACATACATGCTTACTACAGACATGCTCACTGACACACACACATACATGCTTACTACAGACATGCTCACTGACACACACATACATGCTTACTACAGACATGCTCACTGACACATACATGCTCACTGACACACATACATGCTTACTACAGACATGCACACTGACACACACATGCTTACTACAGACATGCACACTGACACACACATGCTTACTACAGACATGCACACTGACACCCACATACATGCTTACTACAGACATGCTCACTGACACACACATACATGTTTACTACAGACAGGCACACTTACACATACATGTTTACTACAGACATGCACACTTACACACACATGCTTACTACAGACATGCACACTGACACACACATACATGCTTACTACAGACATGCTCAGTGACACACACATACATGCTTACTACAGACATGCTCAGTGACACACACATACATGCTTACTACAGACATGCTCAGTGACACACACATACATGCTTACTACAGACATGCTCACTGACACACACATAC